CCCCGCGCGCGCGCCGCCCGCCGGGCGCCGCCCCTTGTATCTGCATACGGAGCCACGCCCCTCGCTCATCTGCATGCGGGAGACCGCCTTTTCCTTATCTGCATGCGGTGCTCCGCCCCCACATACCATCCGCACGTAGAGCCACGCCTCTCCTGTGCACTGAGCCCCACCCTCGTCATCTGCATGTGGAGCCACGCCCCTTACATATGCATGCGGAGTCCCACCCTTCTAATCTACACGTGGAGACGCTTCCCTTCCTTATCTGCATGCGATGCTCCGCCCATATATACTCATTTGCATGCGGAGCCACATCCCTCCATCATCTGCACACAGAGCACCACCCCCCTGCCCATCTGCACGCAGATCCCCGCCCTCTCCATGATCTACATGTGGAGCCCCATCCCCTTCATATCTGCATGCAGAGCCCTACCCCCCTTCATTTGCATGCCACACCCGCTCATTTGCATGCGCCCCGCCTACCTTCAGGCCGGTACTGCGCCACGATGGTGACCGCCTGGCCCGCGCGCTTCAGCGCCGCCGCCGCCTGCTCGTGGCTCGCGTTGCGCAGGTTCACGCCGTTCACCTGCGCCACAGGGCGGCCCGGCACCGTCACGGCGTGGCCGGGCGCCAAGCGGGGCCGCCCCGCGGTCCCCGCCGCCGCGCGCTCACCGAGAGGATGCGGTCGCCGCGGCGCAGCTCGCCGCTCAGGTCGGCCGGGCCGCCGGCCAGGATGAAGGAGACGAAGATGCCCTCGCCGTCCTCGCCGCCCACGATGTTGAAGCCCAGCCCGGTGGAGCCCTTGTGCAGCACGATCTTCCGCGGCTCCCTGCGGGGGCGAGAGGAGGGCGCCGGGTGCTGAGGCCGAGCCGGAGGCCACCGAGGCTCCCGGTGCCCTGCAGGGACATCGCGCCGCTCCGTCCCTATCCCGGCTTTGCGGGCGCTTCCAGCACCCCTGCCGGGATGCAGCTGCACGGAGGCATCACCCCTTGGCCCCACAGGGATGGCAGGGGCTCACGTGCTGCCCTGGCGCCGCTGCGGGGCCCGCGCCGGCCGTGTCAGCGGCACGCGGTGAGCTCTGCATTTTTTCATGCTGACTTAACCCGGCTCCGGCTCAAACAATAGGCAGGCAAAGGCGCAGGGACCGCCCGGCATCGCAAACATCCCGGCTCTGCTCCGCGCTGCAAGCAAACAAGTCCCGAGGGAGCCGCAGCAAGCAGCGATCCAGCTCCGGGGCTGCACGAAAACGAGATAAAAAAGGTGCCCGTTGGTAAACATGCAAAAACGCCCGGGCCAGCAGTGGTCAGGCACCTCTGCTCGCCCTGTTCGAATCAGCCACGGCAGCACCGAGCACCCAGCGTCGAGCAGGTGCCGCGAGCGGAGGGAGCTCTGCAACCTCCTCCAGCTAAAGTTAGCCCGGGAGAAGATGGAGCGCGCTGGGACACGCGAGGAATGAAGGCAGAGCCCGCCGCCCTCAGCGAAGCATCAAACACCAGCAGCCCCGCGCGAAGGGGAGCCCTGGGCCAGTGCCGAGTCCCCCCTCACGGCCTCGGTGTGGGTGGGAGCCTCGGAGCGGCTCTGTCCCCCTGGCCCTGCAGCGGGACAGTGGGACACGCACCCTTGGGAAAGGCTCTATCACACCAACAAGCTCCACTGTTCCATTTTCCCACCCATGCTCCAGCTCCCCCCTGCAAATCCTTCTCTTACTGCCCCGCACGGTGCCTCCTCGCCGCAGCCCCACGCTGCCAGGACCCAGCGGCAGCCGGGGATGCAGCAACTTGTCCCCTGCGAGTACCGGGCACCTCTGCCCTTGAGCTGCCCCGAAACGCACGGAGTTCAGGGATCTACAAACCCGGACACGGGAGCTTTCCAGACATGGCTGCCCCCTCACCCTGCCTGCCCGGAGACCCTCCCGGCGCCCCCCGAGCCGCTCCTCTCCCTGCCCTGCGGATGCAGCAGCCCCGGCATCCCAGCCCCGGTACCTGCGGCCACATTTGCTCCGGTGGCCTCGCTGCCATCCGGGGGGGGACGTGGCCGGCTGCCCCCGGTACGACATGGACGAGGAGACGTTGACGGTGAACATGGCTGAGGGCGCGCGCGGTGCCCCCGGCCCTGTCCCTGTCCCTGTCCCGCCGCGCACACGCGCCGCGCAGGAATTTTCTGAATGCGCCCGGCTCTGCCTCGCCGCTGTTTATCCTGAGGCTGCTGCGGGACGCGCCGCTGCCCGGACCCACGCGCCGGGGGTTTTTATGGAAGCTCAGAAAGGAAAAAGGCTTCAACACTCACTTCACTCCACTAGACCTTACAGACTTAACTCCTTCCTGCCTTTGCAGGCAGGGCAGAAGCCAAGGAAATCCACAGTGCGGTGTTCCCAGCTGCTCCCAGAGCCCAGCTCTCCATGCCTGGAGCTCTGCAGACCCACCGCGCGTCGCTCAAGCACCTTTCCTCAAATGCAGAGGTACAGAAGAGCCATAACGTTGGTCTAAGCTGCCTACACGTCTTTCTCCTGGGCCCTGCTAGGACCTTTTGTGGTCTTTCCACAATATATTTCCTAATGCTAGACCCTCAAAGTGCCTACACTGGGGCCACTGGGTCTGAACAAGGCCAAATCCCAAGTGCTAGAGAGACCCACTGAGACCCATCAACACTCAGGTGAGGTGCCCTAGACCTGCAGCTACCCCCAAAATGCCTCCGCAGGGCAGGAAACTGAGGCACGGAGCAGGTTCATTGAAGGAGACCAGGGACAGACGCTGCCCCTGTGCAGCACTTGGGTCTTGTCCCCGCTCACCGGCTTGGGAGGTAAAAACTGGTTTTGCTTTTGCAGTGGGAGCTCCTGGTCCAAGCCGCCACAGAGGGGCAGAACTGGTCTGCAGAGCCGTGAGCCACCCTGATCCCTGTGCCACCAGCCTGGAAAAGCTCCCGGCCTCGCCAAATCCCGGTTCTCCATCAATGGCAGCAATGCTGGGAGGCTCTTTGTCTGCTCTAAGCCCAAGCCTGGGGCTATGGCTCTTACCGGGGAAGAAGCAGGTCTGGTTTCTGGGGCTGCCAGCCTTGCCTATCACCAGGCATGGTGATGAACTTGGTTTTAGCTGCCTCCCAAGCAAAGCACAGGAGCTCTGCCGTGGTCCAGGCAGTCTAAGAACCAGCCACCAGCACCGATGGGGACCAGAGAGCTCCGTGGAAGGCAGGGAGACACTGCAAAAACCAGGAGAGGAGACCAAGACCCAGGGAGGTAAGTCCCTCTTTCCCGATCTCAGTCATGACACAGGCTCCACTCGTCAGCTCTCCTGCAGGGAGGCAGGACGTGATCCTTGCAGGTCCCCCGGCTGCTGCACAAGCAGCGATCCCAGACCTCGTGCTTCCAGCACCTGTGAAGGGCTGGAAACGGGACAGGACGAGCGAGGGCAGTGCCCGGGCATGGCCCGGGCGGCTCCGCGCAGCCCCGAGCGCCGCCGGCCTCTCCGCAAGGCAGCACCATCCTCTAGCGGCCGCGGGCACGAGCTGCACGGCGCCGCTGCCGCCCCGCGCGTCCTGCTCGGGCTCGCGGGCTGCGCCCGTCACCCCCGGGCAGCACCGCTATGAGGGGCAACACGGGGCGTTGGGGTCTCTGGTAGCGGGATGGATGGGGCATTTGCACAGCAGCAGGGAGCAGGGAAAAAAGCCTAAATCCTGCAGGATGGCATTAGCTCTGCCAGCACAACCGCTACACGCGGAGGGCAATCAATAGAGGGAACGGACACGGAGGCGGCATCTCGGACACGGGGACCATGGCGGGATGGCCAGGCAGAGGCCGCGGAGCGCAGCTGGGATCAGTGCCCTCGGTGTGATCTGTGGAGCTCTCCGTGGGGATGGTGCGTGCTGTCACCATGGGGTCATCCCGCACGGAGCCGACACGCAGGGTGACCCAGCCCCGGGCGGCACCGATGCCGGGGACACCCTAGAGGCTCCTTCTCTCCCATCTGGGAGAGGACTGCACAATCCCAGCAAAAACTGGGACATCTTGCACTTCACCTGCAACCTTTAAACCAGTCTGCATCCTTAGTCATAGCCACAGAGCAAATCCTAATCCTGGCTTGGCTCTCAGGCCCAAGAGCAGAGCCTGAGTCCTAAACCCCAGGGATACTGACGCCAGAGCGGGCTCAGCACGAGGAAAGCCAGGGAGCGGCAGGGAAGAACGAGCTCCCCCTGCACCCTCAGGAGGAGGCAGCGCCAAGTTTTACATCCCGTTGTTTCTCTAGACAAGGCAAAAAGCAGCATCTGCCTTTTGTTCCCTGCGTTCAAAACTCCGCTTGGCGCAGGAGCCCGCGGTGCTGCTTGTGCCAGATTTCACCAAAAGAGCAGAGCAACTTGTATTGGCGGCGCTGCAAACGGCTAGGAGAAGGGCAGGGACAAAGCCCAAGCGCAGGCGTATCCAAAGGGAAGGGACAAAGCTCAAGCACAGGCGTTTCCGAAGGCGGGAACGTCCGGAGAGCAGCAGGAAAGGGAGGAGAGGGAATGGGGCGAGAGCACCGCTGCGCACGGCCGGGACTCACCTGGTGAAGTCCTCGTCCCCGAGCATGTGCCGCGGGATGGGCGAGTACCTGGACGGAGTCACCTGCGGGGGGACGGGGTAGGCGGGCTTGCTCTCCACGCTGCCCAGGTAGCCCAGGCTGGAGTTATGGCTTATGTGGTTGTCAGGCAAGGCTGAAAACGCTGCGGAGGAGGAGGAGGAGGAGATGGGGATGAGGAGCAGCAAGGCCAAGGCAGAGCCCAGCCCGGCATCGCTCGCCGCCCGGCTCCATCGCTGCACGTCCCAACCTTCCTCCTCCCCTCCGGTCCCCGCTGCTGTCCCCTCGCGGGCCGTACGTACTGCTGGCGTAGTCGGGGGGCGCGTACATGTCGTTGAGGTGCACGTTGCCGGGCTTGGCCACCTTCAGGTAGACCATGTCGGAGGTGTTCTTGAGGGCGGCCACGGCCTCCTCGTGCCGCACGTCCTGCAGGTTGGTGTTGTTCACCTGCGGCGGGGAGAGGGCGGCGTGAGCGCGCGGTGCCGGTGCTGCGCCGTGCCGTGCCGCCTGCCGCGGCCCGCCGCTCACCGCCAGCAGCCGGTCGCCGATCTGCAGGCGCCCGTCCTTCTGCGCCGCGCCGCCCTCGATGATCTTGGTGATGTAGATGCTGTTGTCCCCCGGGATGTGCTGGTTCCCGATGCCCCCGGCGATGCTGAAGCCCAGGCCTGCGGGCGTGCGGAGGGGTCGAGGGGTGAGAGGTGCCTGGACAGAGCTCTAAGGCCCACAGCATCCCATGCCCTGTGTCCCATGGCATCCAATGCCTCGTGCCCCATGGCATCTTGTAACATGGGGTCATCTCCCACCCTGTGCTCCACTGCATCCCATGCCTTTTGTCCCATGGCATTCCTCACTCTGTGCCCCACAGCATCCCATGCCTTGTGCCCCACAGCACCCCATGCCAGAGCACCATCCCCCTTCCGCACCCAAAAACCTCTCCCACCCCGCACCCTGCAGCACCCGGACCCCCAACCCGCGGTCCTCACCTTTGGGGCCCTTCATGAGGTTGACCTCCATGACGGTCTCTGGCGGGGGCTGCCGCCGGCGCACCACAAGCCGCACCACGGGCCCCGCTTCCTTGAGCGCCTCCACGGCCTTGCTGTGCACCACCTCGGACACGTCCACCTCGTTGACGCGCAGCACGCAGTCGTTCACCCTGCGGGCGGGCGCGGCGCCCGCCCCGCGCGCCCGCCCCGCGCGCCCCGCTCACCCCAGACGGCCGTCCATGGCCGCCGCTCCGCCGGGGATGATCTTGGTGATGAAGATGCCCGGGTCATCGGGCACGTGCGGGTTGTCGATCCCTCCAGCGATGCTGAAGCCCAGGCCGGAGTTGCCCTGTGGGGAGAGGGAAGGACGTTGCGTGCGGGTGGGAGCAGCGGGAGCAGCCGGAGCCGGCGACGGCTCCGCCGGGAGACTGAGGCAGGCGGGGGCTGAGGGGGGTGGTCCTTGGAGCCAGAAACCTCCCTCGCTGGCGGCTCCCCAGGAGGAGACGCCGACGGCGGAGGGGACCCGGGGCGAAGAGCGGCACAGCCAGCTCATCCTCCTCCTCCTGCTTCTCCTCCTCCTCTCGCCTCCTCCTCCTCCTCCTCGCGGGCCCACGCTGCCTCCCCGGCAGGACGTGGGAGCCCCGGCACGCGCGCCCCATCCCGACACGCGCGCCCTCCGGGGTGCTGCGGGACACGGCAGCGCCAGTGCTCGTCGCGTCCTCTCCATCCTGTCCTGCTCCTCCTCCTCTATCCCGCGCCTGGCTCCAGCAGGCAGCCGGGATAACTCGCCAGGACACACGGAGAGGCTCCCGCGTGGCCCCGTCCCATCCATCCCGAGCTCCCGTTGCCCTGGCACGGGCCGCGCGTTGCCCTGGCCGAGCACTTACCCTTTCCAGCACGATCTCCTCGTACTTAAACATCCCATCGCTGCCGTTCACCTGGGGAAGAGGAGAGCCCCGTTAGTGCCCTGCGTGGTCACCTTGTCCCGGGGAGCGTCCACCATCCCCTTGGATATCCGCAAACTGAGAGCCCAGTCTCGGCTCCAGGCCCCTGCAGCACCGGGATTCACCGCTGCAGGAGGGCAGGAGAGCAGCTCAGTCCACTAAAAGAAAAGCCTCTATACAATCATATAATATATACCTTGAGTGCTTGTGCTTTAAAGCTCTTGGTAGCAAGGATTTGCTGGAAGTACAATTTAAAATAATTTATTCTACTCAATTAGCTGGTCATGAAGGGAACAAGGTGCCAGGAGCCTAAGGAGGGGGACAGAGTGACAGGAGGGCATATGGGGATGCCCTTATACATAAAAAAGAGCAGACTGCCTCCATGCTGCAGGGCTACTGAGCCCTGGATTTAAATCCCTGCTCTCTGTGTCCGAGCGGGGCTCCTGGAGCTGTGGAGAAGGGGCTTGAACCCCTTTGCTGGGAAGAGTAAGGAAAAAGGGATGCTGAACCGGAGACGGCCGCAGCAGGGACGTGAGTCCAGAACAGTAACTGCACAGGACAAAAAGTTCCGTTTCCCCATAGCCAAAAATGCACAGAAAAACAGAGGTGGCAGCTTCAAAACGGATAGAAACATGTCCTCACACTGCAGGACCTAATCTGCTACCGAGGACTAAAATTTAGCAAGGTTCGTGAGGCAAGCAACATTCCCACGGATAACAAGATAACAAGGGACCGAATGCTGAACCCTGAGGTCCAGTGAGGGCTGGCTGGTCGCTCCAAAGCTCCCCTGGGCTCCGCAACGGGGCTCGTCCCGTCGGCGCCGATGGGCGGCTCGCGGCTGGCACGGCGCCGCCGGCACAAGCGGAGCAGACACCGGCTCCATGGGGCACCCGTCCTGCCGTGCAGTGCCCGCGGGATCCCTGGGGACGGCTCCTCTGAGCGCCGGGAGCTGCCGCGTCCCGGCTGCTCCGCTGTGCCACGAGCCTCCCGCAATCCCGAGCTGCCAGGCTGAGGGCACAGCCAGCGTCACTGACACCAGGGACACCATCTACACCAAGGACACCATCTACACCAAGGACATCATCTACACCAACAACGGCGTCCGACACAATGCTACCAAACTCGGTGAAGCAGCTGCAGCGCCCTATGGAAAAGCGGGAATAACTGGGTGTCCTACCAACCACGGGAGGGAGGGCAATGACCTCCCTGTCAGAGAGGCTGCAGAATAAATGAGGTTGGTGCCCAGTCCTTCCCAGGCCCCCAACCACTGCTGGCCACCAGGTCCCACCACCCGACACCTCTAACGTGGCCTGGGCCGCGTGGCCGAGGTTTCTAGAGCTTTGAAAACCCACACGTGGCCTAGATCTGCCCCACTGGAAGGGCATCAAGACATCAGGACACCCAAGAAATGACTGGAGAGGCCTCTCCTCCATCTCTCCTTCTATGCATGAATATATGGGAGCACAGAATCTATATGTCTGGATTCAGATGGGAATGGTGGGGTTAGCCACAGCTCAAGGCCTCTGGAAGCGTGTCCTCTCTGGTGCAGGAAATCCCTGTGATGTCCATGGGACACACACAGGCCCTTCCCTCCTCATATCCCACTGCACTGGCTAATCCTGATCTCCAAAAAGGGAGTCAACACCTTGCAAAACCGCTCACTCCCGGCTCTGCGATCATGGTGCCCTTGGAGCAGGGAGCCTCCCGCTCACCTCCCAGCTTTGCTGCTCCGCAGCTTCCGAGCAACGCGGAGCGCTGGCAGCCTCCGTTACTACACACTGTGCTCTGTGCTTTGGCATTCGGCGCTGTTGCCACACAGGCAGCCATCTGCACACCCACGGGCGCCGAGGAACAGCACATCCATACCTACGGCACGGGGATGTGCTGAAAACCCGGACAATCTGTGCGCTGCGGAGGGAGCCGGCGAAAGAGCAGCAGCCCCCGGCACAGCCGCGGAGCCGGTGCCAACCCCGCCGGGATCTCCAACGGGAGCACACGGGGAGCGCGGGGACATCCCACGGTGTCGATGCTGGGGAGCTTCGCCGCGAGCAGCCCTGTGCGCCGCAGCGGCCGCGCGTCGCCGAGCGCCACGTTGCAGCGCTCGTTACGCTCCCAGCATTCAGGCACCAGACGACGGCTAATTGCATAAGGAAGCCAAATGGAGAACTTAATTTATACCACGTCACCAAGGAAACGGGCCGGCGGAGCGAAGGCTCCGCGCCGAGCGCCGGCGCTGCCTGACGCCCGGGCCGCTCCGCGCCCCAGGACGGCCACCATCCCCATAGCTCCGGGAACGGGACACACTGCGGGGCCCAGCATCCCCCGTGCATCCGTGAGCATCCCTCCTCCTCCCCTCTCCCCCACGTAACATTTGCACGCTGCATCGAGGCTAATTAGCTTCATCAACAGCTGATTCAAAGTGGGGAAAAAATGGGAGTAAACGGCATTTTTTTCCAAGCCCTACCCACACAACAAGCCCACCTGAGGCTGCAGGAAGGGGTGCCCCTCTCCGGCCTCCTCCTCTCTTTCGTGCTCGCAGCAGCAGGGAAATAGTTAGCAACGGTGACATTTAAATCATCGACAGAAGGCTACAGCGCTAACACTCATGCGATAAACAGAAGCGCGCGCACCTTCCCGGGCTGCTGCAAGCTGTCTGCAGGCTCGCCGGCCAGCCCCGCGCCGCCGCACGTGGACCGCGCCGCGCTCGCGTGGGGAGCCCCATGATGAAGGGGAGGGGGAAAAAAGGGGAAAAAAAGTCAAATTTAGAATCAAATTTAGAAGATTCTGGTGGGTTTCTTAAAAATCCAGCCAGTTTAGGGGTGTAGAGAGGGGAGGCAGGCGAGCGCCCGCCCGCCGTGCGCAGAGTCAGTGGGTGCCGTGTCCCAGGCCCCCCCTTGCAGAGCAGCTTTGCCCGAGGTGGCCGGCTTGGAGCGCGCGGCGCCGAGGAGGAGGGGGTGAATCACAGCGTGACAGCCGCGGCCGCCAGCCCGCGCGGCCCCCGCGCGAGCTGCCCGGCGCCACCGGCGGCGTGACGCCGGCCGCGCGCCCGGGCGGCGCGCGCTGCATCCGCCTGTGCAGGCTGTGCGGGAAGCAAGCTCGGACCCGGCCGCTGGAGGAGCTGGGAGCAGGAGGCAGCTGGGACAGGGAGCGGGAGCTCCAGGGAATCAGGCTCCGAAGCTCTTGACTCCTGGAGCAGAGGGCTCCGGAGTGACCTTCCCGCTCGCTTGGCGGCAGCTTCTGGGCACCCTCGGCAGCCAGCAACTGTCTCAGGCTTGGAGAGCAACCAACACCGAGCCCACAGTCTTCAATGGGACCCGCATTCCTTCTATTGACCTGCCGTGCAAAATAAATGAGCGTAACTGGGGCATCAGCCCAGGTGAACTCTACATAAGCCCCTCTGCAGCCTGCGAGGACACCTCTGCTCGAGGACAGCAGGGGTTGTGTATCACATCTGCTTTAGCAAGAGGTCCCACGGGGACACAGGAAGGACACGGTAGCCCTGGTGCATCCAACTCCGTGAGGCAACCATGGGCTTCCTCTCCTAGGAAGGGAGCAGCAGATCCCTGAATAAGGACATTGGGGAGCCAGGGATGCGCACAAAATGCACCTTCATTTACACATGGGCTTATGCAAACCTGCCTCTATCACAGGGGTTGTCCTGCAAGGGATCCTTTCCATGCAGCAGGAATTCCATGCAGTGCCGGGACACGGGTCCCGCTCCACTAGGGGCACGTGCTCTCGGGGACAGAGAGATGGAAATGTGGAGCAGGCTTCTTGGTAAACAGCCGGGGCCAAATTCAGCCCAGCAGCTAGTCCAACAAATTCGACGGAGCTAGAACAGGAAGGAACTACACTGCATCCATCTGTTTATCATTAAGTAAAACACTGAATAGTTAAGTAATTACAGATTAGAAGTGACATTAACTCTTCCAAATACACACCGTACCAAGAGGCTCCGGCTTTTGTTACTTTAAAAAGAAATAAGTGCTTCCAGGGTTGCCATTCCAGTGCTCCCTGAAGGAGCTGGGGCTGCCGTGCTGGAGGATACACATGGAGAGGAAGAGCGGAGCAGGGAGAGGGGCCAGCAACGTCCATCCAGGGAAGGAGGGTGCAAAATAGATGGGAATTGGTCCAGAAAGCAGCAAGGCAGCGCATCGAGAGCCGGTGGCAGGGAAGGTGCAACGAAGGCAACCGGCCGTCCCAAGGCTGGTGGCTCCCGTGACCGGGCGCTGCTGCCCCGTCATTAACGGGCAAGGTGCCTGTGATTTGCTGCATCACAAGGTGACCAGGTGCAAACCACCCAACGGTGACAACCTGTCATTTGAGCTGCCTTCGGGGGACGAGCAGGAGCGAGCGCTGCACAAAGCCATGCAGCCGCCCAGCTGCATCCTGCCCTGCTCCTCCTCCTCCCTGCAGGAACTGACTTGCAAATGCTCTGCTAAGGGATGCAGCAGCTCGCAAGCCCTCTCTGCAACAACCCTGGGAGGATTGGCTCTGTGCTAAGCCACAAAAGCACAAAATTCTCAGCGCCTCAGAGCCACCAAGCACTGTGATGGCCTCGCCACCCACAGCACCAGAGTCCCCTGCCTTGTGACTTTCCAGCACTTGCCCCCTGGTCCTGCTCTACTCGGCATGATGTGAGTGGTCCCTTGCAGGCAGGGGATGCTGTGGGGACACAGCACAAGGACCGGGCTCCCCTGCCACCCGATGGGGTTGCCCTGAGCTGCGGAAGCTCTTCCTTCAGCCCTGAGGAGGGGAAGCAAAACGTTAGCTCAAAAGTAAGTGAAACGAAACCAGGAGACTTACAGAGAGCCCTTGTTCCAGCGAGTCTGTGTTCACGATTATGGGAGCAGGGTTGGCCTGTGAGGAGACAAAAGTGGAAGGTCACGGAGCTGGGCTACGGAGCCGGGCTACGGAGCCGGCCCTCGGCAGCACGGCCTCGCCGGGCGCAGGGGAGCAAGCCAGGAAGCGCAAGCCAGGAAGGGCTCTGCAGGTGTCCTGCAAACAGGGACACACGCTGGCATGGTACGGACAAGGCTCCACTCATGTGGACTGGCGTGGCCCCAGTGCGGCCCCAGCAGCGGGGAGGGAGCCTGGAAGCTCTGCCAGCATCACCATAATTTCCTTCAGATCCACCTTACGCGGGCTGGGCCACAGGAGGGCTGGGCAAGGAGGCCCTGCGGGAGGGCTACGCCAGCAGCAGCCCAGCGCCGAGGGCAGCAGCCGGCCCGGCCGCTCTCAGCAGCCACTGACGCTCCCTGCAGACACAAGACCACCACCCTTGGGGGAGCAGCGCCCACTGCCCCTTCCCCATCGCACCGGGGCTGCCGTCCGGCCCCCGCGCACGCGCCTGCTCAGCAGCCACCCCCTCTCACCCAGGGCTCTCCACAATAAATCTGTCTCCCGCATCCCCCATCTCGCTGCCCATTAGCCTGGCACATGTTTTACGGCCTCCGCTCAGTTCCCGGAGGGGCTCCGCTCTTAGACCAGCAGCTTTCCAGTCCCCCCGCAGCTCCGCTTTCCTTGCAGCTCCGTGTCCGAGCAAGTCAGCACTGATGCCGAGTGACGGCGAAGGAGGCAGAGCTGCCTCCACGGCCATCGGAGCACGACGGCAACCTCTGGCTTTGGCATTAGGGTGGAAGCAGAGAAATGCAGGGCAGGCAGGAGACCCCAGAGAGAGGGGGAGGCTCTTTTGGGGGAAAAGAGGGCTTCTGAAGAGCCAAGAGGGTTTTAACCTCAGGACCAAGAGGAGAAGGAGGAGGAGGAAGATGAGGAGGCCACGCAGCACTGGAGCTGTCCAGCACTGTAACCTCCTGAAGGCACCGCCAGGACCAGGAGTCTGGGAAAGCAAATCCCAAGCGCTTTTCCTCTGCACAAGAGTGTTAGGGAGCAAGGGCAAAGGCTGAGACACTCCAGCCTTGCACGAGGTGATTCCTCACCAGAGCACTAGGCCAGGATTTCACAGGATTCATGGTGGGATGCCAAGGACCGCATGGAGAAGGGCAGCCAAGGAAGGACAGGGAACACAGAGAGGCGCAAGCTCCCTGGAAGAGGTGAACCTGCCGCCCTGGGGCAGCCAAACCCTCACATCCAGAGCCAGGAGTGAAGTGAAGACATGGGCATGTGCAGCCACCAACGGGAACCACTGTCTGTCCAACAACACCAGTGCTGGACTGCATGGCCAGAGAGCCTTCGAGTCTGCTGTGCTTTTTCAGGGGCAAATTGTCCCCTCGCTTCTCTCCTCTGGGTTTATAGTCTTCCTCTGAGCCCCTGGTGAGGAGAACCTCCTCAAACAAGGCAGACCACAGCCTCCATCCCCATTTCAGATGACTTCTCAGTCTCTTAGCATCTTAGGCGGAAGAGCTGGCGGTCAACAAGGCTGTGGCTTTCGTCTTACCCTGAAAGGTTCTGCTCTCATAAGGATGGAGCTGGAGGTAGTTAATTTGATTTATTCAGATGCTTTCTGATCTTTCCTGCAGCTGTAACTATTGGTTACAAAGCCATAGTTTTTATGGCAATTAATCCTGTAGCTCAGGCAAATATGACCACTTACAAGCACGCCTGCCAAACTCCTCCCACACACAGAAGAGAATCACAGTCCTCAGGTCCAGTGTCTTGGGATCTCCATGGCCCAGAAGCAGTGTTAAGCTGGGAATATCCCCTCTCTGGCTGTACATAGTCCTTGTATTTAATCCAGATAATTTGAGAGATAGCATATATTAAACCTGGCACCGGCTTGCATTAGTCCCCAGTGCGATTCGAGGAAGGGATTCCACATTTCGAGGCAAGAAAGCAGCACTTCTACTGCCAGCAATTAACAAATGGTGGCTGTTTGAACCGCGGCGTGCCAGAGGGCAGCGCTCCTCAGATGGGTTTCCAGGAAGGACGCACACGAGGCAGCCCAAGCCAGCGCAGCCTGTCGTGCGCCCCGTGATTTACGACACGAATCCAACCCCACAAATGATGCTTTGGATCCCTCCCAGGGAGCAGCAACTCGGTAGAGAGGCTCTCGCAGCTCCAGCCCGCGTCCCCCTGCGAGCCCCACTGCAGTCGCTTGGTTGAATTACGAAGAGCCCACAAATCACACATCGCGCCGCCTCGCTCGCGCGCTGGCGAGCCCTAAGGACAGATTTTGTCTAGCCTGCTCACTGTGCACTGAGCAGCCTTCGCAGCCATTCCACACTAGTGATTTTTACATCTCAAAATACTGCTAGGAGCACAATTTCCCACTCAGGCTCCAGATGGGACCCAGGAGATGCAGAATGCGAGTGGCTGCTTGAAACAGTCGCACGTTGGCACGAGGAATGCGGAGCAGGAAATCCCTCCTATGGCCAGCTATTCCACTTACTACACAAAAGGGGTTTGGACATTATCTCTGACCTCCTCTTACAAAGATCCCAACGTTTGCACCTTGCCTCTATTTCCACTGAGCCAGACAAGACCAAGCTAAGACTTGGAGATGGACCGAGGCCCTGAAAATGCAAAGCTGCTGCCTTCCTCCATCAGGCCCCACGTACACCAAGCCATCTGCTAGCCAGAGGAGGAGCAAGAACATTACTATTATTTTTTGGCAGGCGGTAGGAACGTGCTGGTGAATTAACCATGCCCTCAACCCCACAGGGAACAGTAATTCCTGCCCTCCAGGGCACGGGGTTGGTGCACGCAGGGAGCAGAGCTGGGCATGCACATCACATTCAATGGAGGCTGTCAGATCTCTTCCATCTAAAATGCTTCATCACCCTGTGATTATTTACCGAGCTCTGTCTGTGCTGGGGGCTGTAGAGATGGAAGACGAGGTCCCTGTCCCTAGGGTGCTCGTGTGGCAGAACCTGCACCCAAGACCAGCGGCGATGGAGATGCCCAGGACATCCTACATGAGGCAGAAAGGTGCACGGGGCTGTCCAAATCCTCAGGCTCCCTGCTGAAGGTTGCAGGGAAGACAAGGCTCGAGGAGGGCCCTGGGCAAGGGCAGAGTCCTTCCACATATGCAGAGAGCCTGATCTGCGCTTGAGGGAAGACGGAGCAAAGCCGGAGAGGCAGGGACAGCTGTTGGGAAGATGTGGGCAGCCAGGGATGCGGAAGGGAGCAGGAGGCTAAAGGTGGAGAGCTGTGAAGGTCAGGCCCAAGGCTCCTGCAGAGGGAGAGCACGGAGCCAGGCTGATGGCAGCTGGCACGAGGCTGGAGCCAGGAGGATGCTGCAGGTCTGCGTGCAGGCAGGATACACAGGGACATGAGCCCCTTCGGAAACACCTTGGGAAGCAGCCAGATATCGCCTGGGAGCAGTGACCCGAGAGAGACGGCCACCGCTGGGGCTGCTTGGAAGGAGTGACTGGTCTCGGCAGCTCAGGGTCACAACACAAGTCACCTGCAAGCTGCCACGCTCCATCGCTTTGCAGCCTATGGTCCCTCTCCTTCTATTTCTGCTCTTATCACCTGTCAGGATGAAGGCAGGATGGTAAAACATGAAGGTTTTTCAAAATTTCCAACCAAAAGCTGTGATTAATGAAAACGGAGAGATTGGTTGGCTCGTTTCAGAGGGAACAAGCCCTGACCGCAGTGTTTCCACGAGAGCAGCTGCCGCCCCAGGAGCCAAGAGGGGAAACCCTGAGCTGGAATTTCACAATATTCCCTCTGGAGCCAAAATCCCGAAGCTGCGTAGATCCTCCTGTGGTCCTCCAGGACAGAGCTTGGACCCCGCGTGCCTCCTCCAGGTCTCCTGCTCTATTTGTGCAAGCTCCCAGACTGGATTAGAAGGGGAAGCCCATCCGTCTTTGAATATCCTTAGCTTTGTGCCATCTCAGGTATAACCAGCAACGCTCCAAAGGAAACGGCTCTGGAGACAAGAGCAATTCAGCCTTTACATCCTTGTAAAAGCCCGTAGTGGCCAAGCAGGGAGATGCTCAGCAGAAGGTGTCCCGGCTACCTGTCTAGCTGCTTGGAAAGGGTGTAAAATCACGGATAAAATGGTGCATTTACAGCTTTTAAAGCAGCTGCTGGGTGGCAGGACCCTGCTGGCTGCCGGTGTGTGGCGGCTCTGGGGGAGCAGCAGGGTCAGCGCGCGGGACATTCCCGCCGTGTCCCGCACCGAGCTGGTGCCCCAGAGCAGCACCCAGAGCATCTCCCTCTTGGAAATGCTCCCCCTGCACCCCCCGGATCACACAGGGCTCGTTGCCTCCTCCAGGACCCACTTTGCTGGCCCTGCACTAACGAACAACGTGAGACGCATCCCTGCTGGAAGGGAGCCTGGCGCCCAGCTGGACCTGTGGCCAGGGGGAGAGGGAATATATCGCATGTGCAGTGCCCGGTTCCCCCAGCACCATCCCTGCATCGCATGGGGCGTCTGTCCATCCATCCATTCATCCGTCCATCCATCCGTCCACCCATCCCTCTCCCCGCTCCGGGCACATCCCTCCATCCTGCCAACGCTCCGCTCGGGAGATCTGAACTCACAGCAATTAGAGGGCTGCAGGCACCGGGATCACCAGCCAAGCTGCCCGAGCGCCCAAACTCCCATGAGAGCACAAGCCACTTCCGAGGGTCGGATCTTTGTTTTGGTGCTTCTTTTTTTTAATTAAGAAAAAAAAAAAAAAAAGGAATAAGCTTAAATAGGGAGTGGAAAAAGCCTTCACTCAGCGGGAGGGAAGAAAGCTTCCCTGACAGAAGCTCTGTGGACTCTGCGTTTCCATTTCGAAGCCATTAAGGCCAGTGTGTTCATACTTGAAAGTTAGACATCCTGTTCCGGGCTCCGGCCGCTAAAATAAGTGACCCAATTTGCAGAGGTGCTGGGCTCCAATAGCTTCCTTTTGACCTGCCAGCGCCAAACAAAATTGACTCAATTCCCTTTTTTTCCCCGGGAGTTA